TTGTATACCTCCAAACAGCAGATTAGGCTGTTGCAAAAAGAATTCCCATTAATCCACCACTACCACCAAAAAAAAAAAAAGGGCAACTAGCTCTGAAGCCAAACCTAGACTAAGGATGTTGCCTTTCTACCCAAGCCTGCTGTTTTAGGTGGCCTCAAGGTAATTGTCATTAAAATGGGAAAACAAAGAAATCACTGCCATGCAATATTTCTACCTAACAAAACTGCACTTGTACCCTCAATCTATAAAAAGAAAAATAGGAAGATAAAAAAGAAATAAAGCAGCTTAATAACAATCTCTGGAAAAGAACTTATGGTATAGTTTCTAGCATGGACTGGAAGCTTTTTGAGAGGAAATCTACCAAATTTGGAATGAAATAGTTTTTACCAAAGTAAACGTAATTCTAGCCAAAAAAAAAAAAAAGGCTTAAAAAAAATAGGTCTCGGCCAATTGTGGTGGCTCACACCTGTAATCTCAGCACTTAGGAGGCTGAGACAGGATGATCATTTGAGGCTAGGAGTTTGAAAGCAGCCTGGGTAACACAGGGAGCCCCTGTCTCTAAAAAAAATAAAAAATTTTTAACTAGCCAAGTGTGGTCCAGGAGTTCAAGGCTGCAGTGAGCTACAATGGTGCCCCTGCACTCCACCCTGGCTGACAGAGAAGGATCTTGTCACTTGGGGGAAAAAAAAAAAAAAGGAAAGGAAAGGAGAGCATAATAGATTCCAACATACCACTTCAACGTGTCATGCAGATAATGGACAAGGAAGAAGTTCTCAGAGGCACTGCCAGGGCAAGGATCCTTTGCAATCCCTGCCTAACAGGATTCACTCTGGTTCACTGAATTCTATATATTCTCAAACTTTCCTTTTTTGATTAGGAGCCTTTATTTCACTTGTCCTAGGCTTGCTCCTCCACTGTTTATTAGTGGTAGACAAGGAAGATAACTTGAAATTCAGTTTCTAGGTGGCTGAGTACGAGGAGTCAAAGCTAGGCCTGATGAAGAAAACTATACATACAGTAGAGATTCTCCACTTTTGAACTAAATGATAGGACTCGGGTTGTTTCACTTGGGGAGTGAGTGAGTACACTGTATGTGTGGGAAGAAGGACACAGGCAGGCATCTGCATGACCGGAGAGGCAAACCGTGGTAGAAACTGCTAGTGAGTTCTCCCAGACTTCCATGGTGAAAACATTGCTGTAGGCACCTGGCTGCCCAGCTGGACCCTACTTCCTGGCCTTCCTCCCAATTCCAACATGACTAAATTCTCAGCAATGCCATGTGAGCAGAAACGATGGATGTCACTTCCAGATTTGAGACATCAGAACTTCACATTCTCTTCCCCTTCCACGCCAGCTGGAACCCATATGTGATGACAACCCTGTTTCAACCACACAGCCAGTGACAGTGTCCTAGGAGATGGCAGAAAAACTAAACCTGGGAGGAACTATGGTCCCTAAATGACCTCAAGGAAAAGAGCTGCCCAATCAAGCTGGACTGTTAACATGGAGTCCATTCCAAAAGAGGAAAAATACACTTCTTCATCCTAAAGCCATTTAAATGTTAAGGCCTTTTGTTACAATGGTCTGACCATTGCCCATATATGGCTGACATCAGAAATTCACCTCTTCTTACACCCCAGATCTATGAGAAGATCTTGGGGAAAATGTTGGAATGAATGTGCCTACATTTGCACTAAAAAACAAACAAACAAATAAAATGTACATTTAGCTGTAGCCTTTATAATAAACCAGTAAATGTGTTTTCCTGAGTTCTGAGTCACGTCAGTGAATTATACAACCTATGGAGAGTGTTATGAAAACCCTTAATTTATTGACAGTCAATCAGAACTACAGGTGGCTGCTGGAACTTGCAACTGATGTCTGAAGCACAAACAGGCTTGTGGAACTGAGCTTTTAACCTGTGGGGTTTGAACTAACTGTGGATAGTATCCAAGTTGAACTGAATTCTTAGGCATCCAGTTGGTGTTGGAAAACTGGAGAATTGGTGTGGAAGACTCTACACATTTGCGGTCAGAAGTGGTAGCAGAAAAAAAGACACCCCTGAAGCTTGAGCCTACATACGGTGTGGAATAATCAGGGCTGATCCTGATACCACTTTACATAAACATTTCAGCTTTGCCTCTGTACCTGCTTAACTCCTATGGGATGAGCAAAGGAGACATTGACCTCAGACACCTCTGTACTGCCCACAGTGGCAAAAACCTCCAGGCTGCTACAATTCCAACCTAAGAAGATGTTAAACTGGACATTTCCAGCCTCAGAAGTGTGGTTGAGAACAATAAATGTAAGTCACTGCACAGTCTACATAGGGATAACAGACTATCCTATAAAATTTGCTAACAGACTCCAAGTCGGTACTATTACTCATGATTAGGCTTTATAAGAGAAGATGTAGATTGATCAGGAGATCAATCTCTCCAGAGAGAGTTGCCAGAGGGTTATGCTTTTCCTACTTCTTCCCTATGTGGACAAGAATCCTCCCTTTCCTTCCCCTCCCACCTACTGCAAGCCACATGAGTAGGAATTTCAGGATGCTGAGACACCCACCGCCTTAGGTTCCTGAGCCTGAATCTGATCCAAGCTGGGGACAGCCGAGATATGTTAAAGTGAATGAGAAATTAAAGTTTTGATTTAGATTGGACTGGACTGGACTTTTTAAGACCTGAAAATCAGACCTTTTGTTTTTTCAGTGACCAGAATAGCCAGGGACTCTTCCTGAGTTATTTTTCAACAAAAAAGGAAGATATTCAACATAGCATGTCTAAAAAGTGATTAAAAAAAAAAAATCAAGTAGCTTCATCTGCTTGTACCTACCAAGTTTAGCACATTCAATATGTGTGCAGGGGATCCAGGTTTGGGTGGCAATGCCTGCCTGCCTGCCTATCACACTTCTACCAATAACCAAGAATCACACGGAATGGCTGCCATAGCACCCGCTTTCAACAGCAATATCACATGTGGCAGCAACAGCAATAACAAAACTTCATCAGACACTTTCCAGTTTTTCTCTCTTCAAAGCCAGAGCAATTAGGACCAAGCTCCTTGCCTGACTGAGCACCAGAAGTTCTAGATTTACATGGGAGAAGAAACGTAAGAAAGGGACACAGACATGCTAATGTAGTAGGTGATCCAAGATGTTAATGGAAACATTAAGAAAAATGTTTTGTAAAGCTACCTCTGGACCTCTGGCTTTCAACTGCCCAATTCCAGGCTTCTTTTGTGTGATACATAAACTGACATCTTATTTTACCTAATACTTTATAATACAATATACGTAATATGTTAAATGCTCCTTGAAATAAACAAAAAGATAAACAAGTCTGTAGAAAAATGGGATAAGGAGAACATGCAATTCATATAAAGAAGAAATACAAATGGCCAGTGAATGTATGAAAATATATTTAACCTTAATAGTAACCTGAGAAATGCAAATTTAAAAGACAAAATACCACTTATCAGGTTGGCAAAAATTTTAAATATAAATTATATCTGGTTGGAAAGGGTCTGTAGAAAAAGATCCTCTCATTCAACACTGAAATAACTTAGAAAGTCATTATGAAAATTCAGAATGATTCTGTATATGATGAGCATGTGCACGTGTGCATACATGTATGTATGTGTGTAAGTATAGAAAAAGGTCTAGAAGAATATATAACAAACTTAACAGTACTTCTATTTCCCAGGAGAGCAGGAGCAGTGGAATGGGAGGGTGTTGATAGACTATCACATTTTACAGATAGACTTAAAATTTGTATGAGCATATATTACTTCAGTAATTAAAAAAAAATTTTTTTTGAAGCAGGGTGTTGCTGTGTCACCCAGGCTGGAGTGCAATGGTACCATCTTGGCTCACTGAGGCTTGGACATCCTGGGCTCAAGCGATTCTACCAGTCTCTTTTAGCCTCCTGAGTAGCTGAGGCTACTCAGATGTGCACCACCAGACCTGGTTAATTTTTTGTGTTTTTTTGTACAGATGGGGTTTTGCCATGTTTCCCAGGTTGGTCTAGAACTCCTGGGCTCAAGCCATCCCCCAACCTCGGCCTCCCAAAGTGTTGGGATTACAGGCGTGAGTCACTGTGTCCAGCCTTAAATTTTTTTCTTTTTCTTTCTTTTTTTTTTTTTTGGAGACAGAGTCTAGCTCTGTTACCCAGGCTGGAGTGCAGTGGCATAATCTTAGTTCACTGCAACCTGTGCCTCCCGGGTTCAACTGATTCTCCTGCCTCAGCCTCCTGAGTAGCTGGGGTTACAGGTGTTGCCACCAAGCCCAGCTAATTTTTTGTATTTTAGTAGAGATAGGGTTTCACTGCGTTGCCAGGCTGGTCTCAAACTCCTGACTTTGTGATCTGCCCAACTTAGCCTCCCAAAGTGCTGGGATTATAGGCGTGAGTCACTGCACCTGGCCAACCTTAAATTTTTTTTAAGTGAAAAATCAATAACTTGAGCTATTTAAAGCTTAAATAGATATATAAAATATTTAAATTTATTTATTTTCCTTTAAAACAGATGTGTTGGGGGTTGAACAGGCAGAGCCTACCCAAATTTTGGCAACTGAGCCCTGTCTTAATCTATGTAGGTGGTTCAGTATTTCACAACCCAAAGGAAGTTTCCTTAGTTGGCATGAATATAACTATAGGGTAATGCTTTACATCCCTGGACAGTACTGAATAAGGCTTATTTTTAGTAATTCAAGATTAAAAAAAACAACTGTACGAAAAGTAGTTTGACATAAATTTTAGATTTGCATTTTTCAATAAAAAGAATTCTATTATTAGTTATCATTCTTTTTGGCGAGACTGTCTTCAATTTTTAAGTGTTTGCCAAAGAAATGACCTTCTGCCATCCCATACTGATGTATTTGCCTGTTTTCAGATCAGAATTCATTCAAAAATGCCATAAGTCTTCCAAGAAGTCTTTTTGTTTTTATTCCCAGAATTTTAAGCAAAAAGTAGTTCATTTAAAATATAAGGAGACATTCTTACTTGGTCCTCAAAAGATAGAGCCTGGGCAACATCTCTTGGAAATCCATCAATAACAATACCCTCTTCATCAGGTATTTGCATCAATTTTTGTTTTATCTCTGTAATTGTTGTTTCCTTTTATAAAGAGAAAGGATGAAAAAAACCCACACAGTTAAACTTAGTATACTCGATTGGTATGAAAACATTTTGCAGAATAGAGGAAAATTACACAACAGTACCTGTGGGGCCAATTCTCCAGTTGTAATTATCTTGGCAATAAGACTCCATTTCCTATTGCTGCTGGTACTGTGGATCTTCTTTCTTAATAATTCTCCCACAGAAATGTACTGGAATCCATATCGTTCTGCAATTTTCAAACTCTGAGTACCCTTTCCACTTCCTGGACCACCTAGTAGTTAAAACAGGCAAAACTGTGACCTTCTGCTACAATAAGAAACTCCCTTTTATACAATTACTATTTTCATCTGGGATACAGATTCTGTGTCACCAAGGCAGGGTGGTTAATGGTTCCATTTGTGGCATTCTCAGTGCTGCCTTTGAATATAAAGCAAGTAGAGACTTTGTCAAGGAAAGAACTGTCTTGACCAACTATATTAAATGAGAGAGACAAATTTTTCCTGTACCTATTTGAGCAAATAGCTAATTTTTTTAAAAAAGTTTTTGAAGAGTGTAGTTGAAAGAAATCTTGACTATTTTTCTACAAAAAAACTAACTTTTTTTCCCCGTGTACTCAAAGAAAAATCTGTGGGATATAAAAGACAATGGTCAAAATAACAATAATAGATTCCATGCCAACGAAGAGTTAATGTGTAATTTGGTGAAATGTAACCACTATTTTTAGACAAAGGCCCACCAGTATTTACACAGCTTATTTAAATCTTTTCTGAAATCTGTTTGCTATGCATGTCCTTGACTTATATCCTTTGAATTCATAAGTTTTATGCAATGTAAAAACAGACGTATAGACCAATGGAACAGAACAGAGAACCTAGAAACAAATCCTCACACCTACAGCGAACTCATTTTCCACAAAGATGCCAAGAACACACACTTGGTAAAAGGCAGTCTCATCAATAAACGATGCTGGAAAAACTAGATATCCATATACAGAGGAAAGAAACTAGATCCCTATCTCTTGTCATATATAAAAACGAAATCAAAATGGATTAATCACCAGATTACTTTGCAAATCAAAAGTAAGTTTCGGTTTTAAATAGCTGCTTTTAACGAATATATGGGCAAATCATGGATTGGCTTGAAATAAAAAAAAATTCTCTGGCCAATTCCATTGACAAATTCAAACTGATTTACTCCTTGAAGAATCAGGTATCTTTCAGAAACTGTATTTCCACACTTAATCACAACCACCAAACTAAGAGATTATACACTCCATTAATTTAAAAAATTCAAACACACTGAGAATGTTATGATACTTTAAAAAAAAATTGGTCAACTAATGGAGGCAACAGTGGACAACAAAAATATGATTGGCATAACTGACAGAGATATTCTCTGTCATCAACTTATTGGATGAGTTTAATTACTGCAAGTTTCTATTTATTTTACTTTTCTCTAAGGCCAGAATGGGCTTAATTTTGTTCTGTTCACTTATCTCTAATATTTATAAATATTAGGGTCCATCTCACTGATATTTTATGATTATGTTAACATAACAGAGATTCATATGTGTTCTAAGACAGCCAGCTTTAAAAAAGTTCTGCAGCACTGGAAGAGAAACCATGTGGGCATCTACACCTCCACTCACTTTTTTTGGGTTGGGACTAATACAAATTTGTAAGGTTCAGGTACAATTATTTTGTCATTCCATAAAAGTCATAAAATTGCCCCAATTATCTCAGAAAACCTGAAATCCACCCTCTCCTTTCTTCCCTTGTTTCAATCATCTTAAAATGATTTACACTTATTGGTTCGTCATCATTTTCACGATATATAAAATGTTACAATACGGTGTGTAAGTCTATAACCAGAATTACAACCTTGGGAAACAAATTGATTTCACTGAATAAAACGAAATGTGAAGTGGGGGAGATTTGAGCATTAATATTTTTTCCAAAGATCTTAGTTTATTGACATATTTTAATCATTTTCATATAAAATTCATAATGCACAGAAAAAATATTTGTGTTTTATAGAAGATTAATTTGATGTTAAACCATTTTCATGAACAATCAAGCTTCCATTTGTTCATCCTGTTAATAATGACCAATACTTGACTACTAGCAGCAAGAACAACAAGATAGAAGAAGGTGTTCTGTCTAAATAAAAATCATAAAATGATGAGAGAATTCCCAATTATTTTTCACCTGTGCTTCCATTATTTATTAAAGTGTTTCCTTGTCTTCTAGGGAAGGACTTGAAATTTTTAAGCATTCCACTTTGAAAAAAAGATATTTATGATTTTAACAGTGTCTACCATAAAGCCCTAAGGCGACCAGGCGCAGTGGTTCTCGCCTCTAATCCTAGCACTTTGGGAAGCCAAGGTGGGCATATTGCTGAGCTCAGGGGTTTGAGACCAGTCTGAGCAACACAGTGAAAACCCACCTCTACTAAAATACAAAAGATTAGCTGGACATGGCAGTGTGCGCCTGTAGTCCCAGCTGAGGCAGGAGAATTGCTTGAAACTGGGAGGAGGAGGTTGCAGTGAGCCGAGATTACACCACTGCACTCTAGTCTGGGACAGAACAGGATCTTCCGTCTCAAAAAAAAAAAAGCCGTAAGAAGAATATTTTAACTCTTCAAAAGCTGACTTTAAACTCTCTTCCTATAATTTTGTTTACAAAATATATCTGGCTTTGTTAACAATTCAGGGCCAGATACATTTGCAATTTCATTTTCATTTCACTTTAAAATGTGCAAATGTCATTCCTTCTGGTCTGGTAAGCTTAAATTTTTGTTATAGTGTGGTGTGTTTATTTGCATGCTTTTTCCCCAGTTGCCAACATTGTTGTGTCCTCAGGAGCACTACTTCCCTGCATGGGGTCTCTTTACATTTGGCACTCTATTAATGCAACCAGCTAGAACAGCTTTGAACATTTCATCCCAGAGTTTTGCTTTTGGTTGTCTCTGAAAGGTGATTCTAACTGGAAAGCGAAACAATTACTACGTGTTGCATATTCACAGGTCTCTTCATGATTTTTTATAGATTTTGAGAAAGAATTTGCAAAAGTAGCCACAATTCTTTTTCTTTTATTTTAGAGAATAGGTGTCTCTGTCATCCAGACTGGAGTGCAGTGGAATTTACTGCAACCTTAAACACCTGGGCTCAAGCTATCTTCCCACCTCAGCCTCCCAAGTAGTTGGGACTATAGGTGTGTGCCACCATGCCCAGCTAAGTTTTTAAATTTTTTGTAGAGACAGGGTCTCACTATGTTGCCCAGGCTGGTCTGAATCTCCTGGGCTCAGTGATCCTCCCAGCTTGACCAAAAAGAAATTTTTCAAAAATATTTAAAATATTTTCATTTCAGGGCCGGGCGCGGTGGCTCAAGCCTGTAATCCCAGCACTTTGGGAGGCTGAGGCGGGTGGATCACAAGGTCGAGAGATCGAGACCAACCTGGTCAACATGGTGAAACCCCGTCTCTACTAAAAATACAAAACATTAGCTGGGCATGGTGGTGCATGCCTGTAATCCCAGCTACTCAGGAGGCTGAGGCAGGAGAATTGCCTGAACCCAGGAGGCAGAGGTTGCAGTGAGCCGAGATTGCACCATTGCACTCCAGCCTGGGTAACAAGAGTGAAACTGTCTCAAAAAAAAAAAAAAAAAAAAAAAAAAAAAAAAAAAAAATTCATTTCTATTCCTTGTGAAACATCATGGCCTGATATTTCCATATTCAACATAAGATTCACGGTGGAAATTTTTTAAATGATTATCATTGTTATTTTGTTTAATACTCAGATGTTATGTGTTATGTAAAACACTATTCGATTAGATTTGCTTGTCTTTTAACAGTGAAACTGGATTTATTGTAGGTGTCAATCTGCCAAAAGAAGATTCATTTATATGAATCTTTACCAATCTATTATTATTTATTTTTCCCTCTAAAGTTAATGGCGAGTAAAAATTTAACTTGTTGAGTTAAAGGGGAAAAATTACATTATGTTTAGAAAACTTTCTTTTTTCCTTCTAGATACAGAGTCTCACTATGTTGCCGAAGTTGGACTCCTGGGATCAAGGGATCCTTCTGGCTCAGCGTCCCTACTAGCTGGGACTGCCACCACATCCAGCTCTTAGAAAACTTCAATTGGCTCAGTTACCTACAATAAAGATTAACTAAATAAAACGACAGGACAATAAATCTTGAAGACAGTACTTGCAATTCATTATGAGAATTTCTATGACATTTTAATGGGAATCTATGAAAATGCAATAGGCATTAGATTATATAATTCTAACAATTTCTATTTTATTGAAACTTATCCTAAGAATATTTCCATTTATTAGCCGGGCGCGGTGGCTCAAGCCTGTAATCCCAGCACTTTGGGAGGCCGAGGCGGGTGGATCACGAGGTTGAGAGATCGAGACCATCCTGGTCAACAAGGTGAAACCCCGTCTCTACTAAAAATACAAAAAGTTAGCTGGGCATGGTGGTGCATGCCTGTAATCCCAGCTACTTAGGAGGCTGAGGCAGGAGAATTGCCTGAGCCCAGGAGGCGGAGGTTGCGGTGAGCCGAGATCGCGCCATTGCACTCCAGCCTGGGTAACAAGAGCGAAACTCTGTCTCAAAAAAAAAAAAAAAAAGAATATTTCCATTTATTGTCCCTTGAGCTTTTGTTTCTAATGCTTGCCATTATTCAACTAAGTATTTGTACATATAATAAATGATTTACTTTTTTGAAATGTAAATATTTAAACAGAGATAGCAACAGTACAAGAATTTTGCTTTCTGTTCTCATACCTATAACAAGAATGATTTTGGGTCGTGGTCTAGTAGGATCAAAAACCTCATACTCCTCAATCAACTCTGCAGTCTCAGAGAGATCCGTGTCACTTTCTATAGAGAATTGATGGATTGGAGGGAGCCGATCATACCGCCGATACGGAAAGTTTGAATTTTCAGGCATTACTGCAAAAGAGTAAGATAACTTTGAAAAGGAAAAAACACCATAATAAAACACTCTTCACACTTAAATAATTAGTAAAAGCAATTCTAAAATTAAGTGGGTTTGTTTTCTCTTAACGGGAAGAAGACTCCCTAAGCGGTCAGCAGGTTTTATCGTACTAGAAGACGACTCCCTAAGCGGTCAGCAGGTTTTATCGTAAAGGGTCAGATAGTTAATATTTTGAGCTTTGAGAGCCGTGCAGTTTCTATTCAACTTGGCCATGGTGGTATGAAAGCAGTCATAAACAATATCATAACCAAATGAGTGTGCCTGTGTTTCAATAAAACTTTATTTATAAAAACAGGCAATGAGATGAACTTGGCTCATGAAACTTTGCCACCCTCTGCCCTAGAGTAACCTGCTCAGATACTACCTAGTCTTGTAGGTTGTATACATCTTGGCCTCTGCAAATGGTGCTCTCTGGAGTTATGTAGTACATAACCTTCACAAGCATATGTAGCTGCCTGTCCATAAAACTAACGCTTATATATCATGACTTTCATTCATTCAACAAATATAGATAAGCTACTTACTATGACCCAGGAATGCTACTGGGGTCCAATAGAATGGCTTGGTGGCATAATAAATAAAAAATTAAGGTACTGTCATAAGTCAGGTAGAAGGGTGCAAATAATTCCTACAATTGGAATATCTTTTAACATCATCTAATTTTACTTTATCAATATACTTATTATTTTTAATCTACTTGATTTAAAGATGTAAAAGCAAAAGTTTAAGTTTGTATCTACAATGGCAATAAATATTTGCTATCTATTGCCATTTATAACATACCAGACATGTTAGTGTGTTAAGAATGATTTGGTGGAAGAATAAGATGTAGTCCTGTTCCTTCAGTGCTCTTAAAGTACAGCTTATGTGTTTATAACTAATAGCTGCATGAACACCAGCCAGTTAAGTGTTAAAATGAATATCTGTCTGATAAACACCACAGTGATTCAATGAACTACATTTGTGGTGCAGTGATAAGAAAGGATTTGCAAAGGAGGCAGGACCCGAACTCTGAAAGACAAGCACAGGTGATGAAATGTAGGAAGTATAACCCAATTGGTGGGAACAGTAAAAAGACTCTAAGTTAGAAACTCAAATGACATACTCTAAAGGACCAGAGGACAGTGGTGGCAAGTCCAAGGGAGATAGTCTCAACTAGTAGTTTACATATAGTTTATGGCTCCCTCTTCTTCACCTCAGGTGTAAGTATTCCAGGAGGCACAGAGAAGCATCAACTACCCAAACAGCACTTGCACAAAGGAAACAGGAGGCCATCTGCCCTTCCATGAGGAATTCTGCTAAGGGGACTACCATATCTTAGCATGGCATAAGGCTCACATCTCCTCCCAGGGTGTTGATCCATTAGAACTTTCCATTTTCTGATGATACAATAAATAAGGGAAATAAGGGTGCCGACCACAGACCCACTAGACTCATTTTGGTTTCATAAAAAGCATGGAGTAGTCTGCAGATGACAGTAGATACCCTTTTGAAAGAGCTGGGAAGGGCAACATCAGGAAAAACACCAACAACAGTATCCCCTCTGCCTTGAAATTTAATTACTTCATCCAACGTAAGACAAAACTCAAAACATTATCTTGATTACTTTCTTCCCTCTTTCTGCACATCTATTCTGAAGACTTTATTTGCTAAACATATGCCATATGCATATGCTTCTCTCTATTTCTGCTATCACAACTCTTCCAAGCCATTATCATAGTTTACCAGGAATATCATAATAGACTACTTACTGATCTACCTGCTTCCATGCTTGTCCCCACAATCAACTGCCTGAATTGTTCTTCCCCTGTTGCTCCTATGCCTGACTGCTTCTTGCCATTGACACTTTACCTTAAATGTCACCTCCTTCAAGAGGACTTTACTGACTTTCTAATCTAGAGCAGCCTCCCAGTGAATCTCAAGGACATCACTTTAATGCTCTGCACAGCACCTACCACTTCAGCATCTGAGAGTTTTTCATGTATCCATTCATTCATTGTGTGTCTTCTCCTATTAGATTAGAAGTGTCATGAGAGCAGGGGCCTTACCTATTGCCTGGAGCTCTGTATCCCTGGGATCTAGAACTGTGCTTGGCAGATGGTCAATGTCCAACAGATATTTGTTGAATTAATAATAAAGAGAACGTCTTACTGAAATAGTTTCCCACAGAGAAAACTCTGAAGATAAAATGGGTGGGCAGAGTGTGGTTCAATGTGGAGGTCCTTGAACCCTTTAGCTTTAATCTAGTAAAAAGTCAGTGGAGGATTTTTGCCAGCATGTGGTAAAAGAAAGGAGGCAATGAAATATATTTTTTAGGAAGGTTAATCTGCTAGTTAGAATGAATTGGAGCAAGGAATGACTAAGAACAGAAACAGTAGCAGCTAGGTGGCTGTTAAAGTCATCAACAGATGAGAAATAAAGGCTTAGGCTAGAGTGGTAGCAGTGGAAATGGAAATGGATGGCCATATATAAAAGACATGATTAGGGCTGGAATGTGAGAAACGAAAGGAGGTGACAGTTCAAAAACAACTTCCAGGTTTCAAGTCTAAAAGAATAAGGAACATACTGCATTTCACGTAGTATCTTTCTTCCCTTGCTTTTCTGCTCCAGCGATATTGGACTTCTCTCATTCCTGACCAAATTACAGCCTCTTTGTCTGCCTCAGGAACTTCTCTTCTCTCTTCCCTGGTACAATCTCTTCCATTCTTCTCTAGCTAACATATACTTAGCTTCCTGCTCCAAGTATAAGCACATCACTTCTTCCAAGAAGCCGACCCTGAACTCCAGCCTAGGTTAGATTCAGCCCTCTGTTAACTTGGTTAATTCCTTAACATATGAGTTTCCTGTACTACCATTTCCTCCTGCTTATATTTCTACTGCTTGACTTCACTGTTAGACTGTAAGGTCCCTGAGGGAAGGTGCCATGTCTGTTCTTTCTTGGTGGTTTGTATTTTCAGTTCTAAAATAATGTCTGAACACATAGTAGTACTCAATAAATGGTCAATTTATTGCCCAACTGACTTACTGACTGACTGCAGGAAACAGGAAAAGAAGTGCTGGTTTTGAAGTAAACATGGTGTGTTTGGTTTTGGACATGTTGAATATAAGATAATGAGATATTCTGGAAGATAGGCTCTATGAATGTCTGGGGTTATGGGATTAGAACTCTTATTCACAGATAATTATTCAATTGTATGCAAGTGACAGAAAGAAAGGGATGCTTATCTCATATTTAACACTTTAAAGAGCAAATAATTTAATCCTTGATCATATTTTAACTTAGAAAAGTAACTTGATAAGATAAAAACGTTTCATTTCTCAGAATAATTTTTCACGGTAATAATACATTAGCATAGCTATGGCAATATTTTTGCAAAAATGTACAAATCACTCTTATTTCTAGAAATAATCACTATGCTTTAGATACTGGGCAGTTAGCAATTTTGTTGAATGTAATAAACTATTCCACACATTACAGCTAAAACCTCCAAAGCACAAAAGAATAAAGCATTGCACAAAATACAATTGTATTATTACAGGACCAATCAGTTTAGAAACCATTTTATGTTTTTTAGCATACCTTTTAGATACAAGATTGTGTGATGCAATGTTCTCACCACCACAGGTATGCGAAAAGTTTGTATTCAATGATTAGCTAAAAGATCTCTGTGTGGGAATTCTGGTAAAGTATCAGTAGGTATGGAGAACCTAAAATTAACATGCAATCTTATTTTAATGAAAATTAGGCCGACATTTTCCATTCTTGTTTTAGCTTATCCTGCTCGATCAGGAATTCCAAACTCACAATCTGTGCACCCAATATAGCCCCACGGATGTGTTTTGTTCAGCTGGACATTTTTACAAAATTTGTACTTAACTGTCTCTAAACAATGACTGTTCTCTCCAGTTCTGCTCTCTAGTTTGGCCACAGTCCTTACCATTCTCTATTGACACATGGGCTGCCTAGCTTCTACGTATAATCAGGACAAGTAACTATAAAAAATTTTATCAAATAGAAGCATCAAGATTTCATTTTTTTGCAGTCACTTTTACATCCAGTCAGGGCAGCTTTCTGACTAGGTAGATGTCACGACTTCTTAGACTTAATTTTTAAAATGTATACCTCAGGTTTATTAGTACTTTAAGGTTTAGAAAGCAGGTCCCTGTATTTATCTCCCCTCTAACAAGAGTACAGGGTATGTATTTAACACTAAGTATGATAACACCCTGGAAAGTAAGCTTTGTGTATGTTGGGGATGTGTATGAACTGTTCAAGCCCACTGAAATATCATTTATTCACCAAAGCAGTAATTAAGTGGTGTGCTGCAGCAGCAACTGGCTAAAGACAAACACAAGTACCTGCTGCCCACAGAGAGGACACATCTAAGCTGTGACTGCACAGTTTGGAATCCTAAACTCCAATTCTGTTCATTTACTACTCTGTGTACCAGGTTGTTCTCAGTGAACTAGAAATCCCGCTGATTTACAGAGAGTGACCTTTATACCTGGGACTCGGCTTGGTTATCAAACCAGAAAGTAGGTCTATGAATAGATTGTATGGTAAGAAAAAAATTTCTTTGGTATCGTAAGAGTTCTAAGGGTTAAATGAAAATATGTGGTGCAAAGTTGATTTAGTAAGCATATGAAGACACGACCCTACCTTAGGACTTCCCATAGAATGTAACCACATGGCTTATTCTGTACTGAGTGTTATTTTACCTCCTGTCTATGTAAGATGGCGAGTGGTGAGAGACCTTGTACAGTAATTAGATTAATTGCTCTCTAAGACTCAGAATGCAAATATTATTACCTTATAGTCACACCAAAAGTTTTCTAATTATTTCTCTGTTTTTTGGTCTGTTATAACATTTGAAGGTTTCTAAAGCTAGCTTTAAATAACAATTTCAGACATCTCACTACTTTCCAGCAGCACTGAGAAATTTGGTCGGGGTCATATCATTGACTTATGCGTGAACAGTGAAGGACTCTTTTCTTTAGAAATGTTTCTGAGGAAAAGCTGTTTCTGTTTTTCTTCTTTTGCTTGTGTTTCTTGAAAATTAGCACACTATGACTTTTTCCCACACTGCATTCAAGTAAAATCTAAGTGGGTCATGACTAATACAAGAAGATTTGCTTCCTGCTTATATTCATTGCAGATTGAATTGTCTCCATTTCAAATTCTATCTGTATAGCATCAACTTTTTGTGGTACAATTTTTGAGAATGGTTTCCGTTTTGAAAATATAATGATCTTGGCCACTAGAAAAGAATTAATTTAGTTTCCCCTGATTCAAACTGATTCACTTGCATATACTATTATACTTCTCAACTTCACCTAGAGCCCAAAAGGCTGGTAGGCTCGTGTTGAATCCCTAATTTTGATAAGCATATATTTCAGAAAGAGATCAGAACACCATGAATCTTCTCTAATGAACTGCAGTTTTTAGTTCTAAACAACTCCTAAAATTTAAACAAGTTTACTTCTCCAACTTCTTTTATAGCACCCAAACGCCTAATCTAATACATTGCATTCAGTAGCTGCTTAATAAATTTTTATTGAATTAACTAGTGTTAAAGTGAACTAAACATGGCTTGAAAAGGTCTCCGTACTTCTATATTTGGGTCCTTGTGGAAAAACCGCAATCTAGCCTAATAGGTAGACAAGACTGAAAATCTAACTTAGGTGTATGTGCCTCTAACAACAGCTGAGTCTTGGCCAATCCCAGCAGCTGTACTTTAACCATTCATACACTGCTGAGTGTTCAAACTGTGTTCAAATAAGGCAAATGCTGAGCTGTAACCAATCCAGCCATTCTGTACCTCACTTCTGATTTCTGTATGCCATTCCTCTTTTTTTGTCTATAAATCTTCTTCCACCATGTGGCTGTGCTGCCGTCTCTGTGAATCTGCTGTGTTTCTGGGGGCTGACCAATTTACAAATTGTTCACTGCTGAATTAAACTCCTTTAAATTTAATTCGGCTGAAGTTTTTATCACTAGTATAAACTTTACATGCATTTATGCAGATGCATTAATATGAACTCTGAACTTGAAAATCTCTTTCTAGCTAATAAAAAATGCTGAACTGTTATATAATAACTACCAATTTTACCTGTGTTTATTTATTGAGAGAAATCTTATTTGCAATTTTAAGAAAAATTCGTGGTTAATGTAATTTATTTTGCAAAATAATAAAGTCAGTAATATAAAATTTCATTAAGCCTCTAATGAATTGTTGGACAATGGTATGTAGTTTTGTTTGTCTTTTTATGGAAGTGATTAGAATTAGTAGCAGAGAGAAATTAATCATGATCCAAGGACTTATATTCTTCCAGGCATTTGTAAACTCAACAAATGAAATCACTGTGTAAAGTCTATATGGCATATTTTAAAGAGACTGCTACAACTATAAAATGGTCTATTATTCTCCATATACATTACCATTTCTTAGAAAGGATCTCCGTGACTGTCCACCATTTAGTGGAGGTAAGGTCTTCTTTTCCTGGCTGACAAATGTATCCCATTTCACCTTGTCACAGCCACCTAGTTCCTTCACTTTCTGTAAACAACTTTCCAAGTACTCTACTGGGTCTTCGGGCTTAGAACACATCAGTCCATTCAAAAGGCTCTGAAATATAACAAAATATGTACAATAAAATACGTTTTAAACCCACCTTTGTTTTTTCTTTAAATTTAATTTTATTTATGCTTTTTTTAGAGAGAGAGTCTCACTCTACTGCCTAGGCTGGAGTGTGGTGGCAAGATCTTGGCTCACTGCAACTTCCACCTCCTGGGTTCAAGTGATTCTCCTGCTTCAGCCTCCTGAGTAGCTGGGTTTACAGGTACACACTACTATGCCCAGCTACTTTTTGTATTTTTGGTAGAGACAGGGTTTCACCAAGTTGGCCAGGTTGGTCTCAAACTCCCGACCTTAAGTGATCCACCCGCTTTGGCCTCCCAAAGTGCTGGGATTACAGGCATGAGCCATCGCACTGGGCCCCACCCACCTTTGTTAAAATAGTGTTATGCCTCATCTTTGAATTCTGGTTGTTTTTGTTCTTGGCATTTGTCTTTGAATAAACAATTAGAGTTGTAATTACAATCTGACTGAGTCACTAAAATAATCCCTTAAATTCTTGCCTAATTAGTTTTCAGTTCAGTATTCTCTGCCTCTTAAACAATTCAGGCAACTACATAGTTTAAAATGGAAGAGGCATTCACTTCATCACAGTGAGATGAAATGCAGCATGTGAAAATGCCCCTGGTCATTAGTTATTTCACTCCTACCCACCCTTTAAGTCTCTAAGCTTCAGTTTCTACTTTTAAAAAATTGGGGTGATTATAAAGACATCATAATGTTTTTAAGAATTAAATAATTTCATATTTGTACAGGTCATATTAAGTTCCTGGAACACAGTAAGTGCCCAAAAACTTTGTTGGTGGTTTTAGTTATTATTACTATCAAGACGTCTTCCCTGAATCCCTAGGTTGGTCTGTGAACCCCTTCTTTCATGTTCCCATGGTATCTAGAATAATATATCATACTTGTCATTTATACTGAAACCATTGGGTTATGCATTGGTCTCTCTTCTAAAGTATAAGCTCTTCAACAACACAGAGTCTCATTCATTTTTCAATCCCCAGATACTGATGCTTTCTCCAGCATTTGGTAGGTGCATATTTAACTGTTTTACAACTGGAAAAAAAAATAGAAATCACTCGAAGCTCAAGTCTAAGTGAGACTCAAAAACCTTGAGGTCTGACACTCAAAAAAACCACTATTTGACATAGAGTAAGTCACTCTAGTATCCCACTGAGATTCCAGAGGAGAAAGAAAAAAAAAACAAAAACAAAAACAGGATCCTGCTATTACTTTTTTGGTTCATGGTGTCTGATGTGTCATTGGTACTAGTTTCTAAAAATGCTACCAGTTTGGAAATGCTGATTCCTGGAAGCTGGACTTATGTGCAAAATATTTTCCTTTAGAGTATTTCATGGAAAAAGCATAAAGGATTATTCTTACAAATATACATTGTTAGTATACTAAACACCCTTCTAAGGGTTGACATTTGTTTAAATACAGTATTTTTTTTTTTCAATTACTTTCTGTGTAATTTGCTCAGAATGGTAGGCAAGTTTCACTAGGTACATTTGTTTTCTGAAATCCTAAATAGAGTAGTCTGGAGTGTGCACCTCCGTCAGCCAAGTTCATTTGCAGAGGGAGCAGAAAAAACTACCTGGGCATCCAATCCAGTTTATGTACCAAAATCTGTCCTATATACGCACACATTGCAGTGGAACTTCTCACATTCCTCCCATAAGCCAACCCAGTATTAGCCTTATTAATACATAAAACCCTCTGTGTCATTTATTTATTTGTATATCCAGTTTATTCTCAGCCCTTTGTGACTTTATTATCCCCATTTTATAGTTTAAGAAATCATGGCTCAGAGATGTTAGTGACTAACTCAAGGTTACTCAACTAGAAAATTCTAGGCCCAGTATTTCAACTCAATGATTCTGATTCCAAAACCCGTATATTCTTCTCTGTACCTGTTGCAAAAACATGGTATAAGATAAAAGAAAATACAAGATTCTCTGTGCCCTCTGCAAAACGCCTGCTTTTTATCCCTACTATTGCCTGAAATGGGTGAACACACTCAATGACTCTCTTCTGAAAATATACATTTCCAGCATCCTTAAACAAAACTGGGTCTCCAAACGGCATTGATTTTAAAATGTGACAGTGAGTTCCACTCCTTCATGGATAATTCAGATCTTTTCTTCTCATAGCCAGCCACTATCAGGGATTGAAGACAACCAGCACACATTATTGCTCAGTCTCTGAGTTAACCCTTTGAGACCCTGAATAATCTAATTTGACTTTCCACAGTATTAAAATTGCCAAATTTCTGCTGTAAAGTACAAGATCAATATACACACCATAAGGTTAGCTAGAATTAAGAACTCATGATAAAATAAGAAGTGGGTTTAAAAAAAAAAATCTAAAAATGGAAACATATTTCAAATATGAACCTACCAGAGATATCCCATATTCTATTTACCCTACATGATGTCTCAAATTAGGAAGAAATCTGAAAAGGTCACTTAGATATCTTTACTTGTCTGACAATATGTCGATATAATAATCAGTTTGTCTATAATGGTGTCTAATATCCACAGCTGGGGCCAATGTCTTGTTTAGTAGATAGCTAATCGTTCACCTTTGTACACCTAGAACATTGTGGTAGGGAAAATCCGACTTAAAAACCTAAAGTATTTAGTTTTGCAGTCTACACTCATCACATGGAGAACTGCCAGATTTTCCTTCCGTCTTGAGCTGCGCATAGCACAGATTCGTCTTACTGAAGGATGCAACCTTTGGAGGTCACCAGCAGTCTACTTCAATCTTCCCATTGTCCAGAAGTAAATCGAAATCTACTGTATTACTGTATTTCACCTAAGTAAGTTGACTTCCTTTTCTGGGTGTGCATTATTTATTCCACTCACATGCAGAAAAGTAAAAAACATAAAACCTGAACAAAAACTCCTACCATCACTTATTTGCATACAGAGTGTAGATTTTAATAAACAAACGATGAAAATTCTCTGTGGTTACCTTCCACCAAGGAGGAAAAACAGTACCCACATTTATAAAGAAAATGGATGTACTATTTAGGGATTTTTGCAATCAGGTGGTTCTCCTACAGATGTTTCTAATGATTCTTTTAGACACTTAGAAATGAAATTTCTCTAAGTAGTATCTTTGTGAGAAAAACTTTCATCTTTTTTTTCCGTATTTACTTTTTGAAAATTTAAAAAACAAAAAGAACGATTCTTTGATTCCCACACATTCTCAAGACCCGTCCTTATCCAACACCACCTGATTATTTTCACGCAGGAGTAACACATTTGCTAGATTTGGGCTTCACATACCACGCTTGAGCTCAGTGAGTGGTTTACCCGGAAATCTTGACTTCAGATGACCTGAAAAAGGTGGCTAATAGAAGTGAGAGGAAATGAAGATTTGTAAATATGGCAACCCATTTTAAAGACAGTTTGGGGAAACTGAGGCAAAATTTCCCAAGTGGTGTTTTAAAATTATTTTTAACAGAACAAATCCAGCAACAACAGCAACAAAACCCCTCATGACCTTTAGTTTACGATATCAGGCTATCAGTTTTCAGAATTGGGGGTGAGATTTGTAATGAAAGGATTTCCCCTTTCAGAGCTCACCTAGGAAGCTCGGCTTGCTTCTATTCTTTTCTCTCTTCCTCCCCCAACTTCAAGCAAAAGCACTTGAGGTTCAGGAATGTTTTTAAATTCAAATATGAAGAGAAGGAAAGGAAGCCAAAACAACCTGAGACAGGGGCTGTGGCTTAGAACCAACCAAGAAGGCTCATTCCTCAAGCCTCCTCTCTGCCTCCAGGTGCTTCCCCCATTCCCGGGTCCAGGTGCCAATGATGCCGTGATGCGGTCTGAAGATTGAGCAACAGGAGTCACGCCCGCCTCGTGGCTCCCTCCCCGACCCGCTATCTCCAGGTGGGTTGTGGAGCTCTAGCGAAAGCTGCGGCCCAACCCTTCCTAGGCAACGGAAAAACGTGCTCAGGAGTTCATTCAGCGAAAGCGCAGAGCAACGCTGGGGGCCTGTCACAGGGGAGGTAGCACTTGATAGCTTGGGTTTTGCTTTCTGTATCTTCATCCCTCTCTTCCAAGCTGTCTCCGGGGAGGGCTGCCTTCGTCCACATTTCCTCTTTCCCGCAGGGGTCCCGACTCTCGACTAGTAGAGTGACTAGGGCTCTGGCTCCCTCAGTTTGGAGTCTTTACTCGCTACTGGGCGACAGTGCACCCACCTGGCCTGGCCCTTGCCCCAGAGAGCGTGGCCCGGCCGCTGTCTGCAACCCACCCTGGCTGTCCACATCCAAGGGGCGCGATGGGGGCAGGCTGCTTTCAGAACTCGGCTCCAAGACAAACTTGATTTGTGAGATGCAGGCTTCTAAGCCCAGCCATCTGACAATGACCCTGGCAACCCGTGGGAAAGGCGACTACCCTCGGGCGAGCGGGCGAGTACGCTTCTGCAAGCCCCTTCAATTACATGCCCCGCGTGGGGAAGGTGGGACGGGGCGCGGCTGCCTCACCCCGAACCCCGGAGATGCAGTCCCCGGATGCTCCCTCCCGTCTGCCAGCCCTAACCCCTACCTCAAAAAGCTGAGGGATTTCCCTCCGGGCCAGATACTCCTTGGCATCGTTGGTGTTCATGGCTGTGCCGCGCGTGCCTTGGGGCGCAAGCGGGCAGGCTCCCGGGCTGCGGCGACCTGAGCCGGGGCTGGCGCTGGGGATGGCAGAGTCCGCGCCGAGCAGCTGTGCAGCCCTCTTTCTCGCGCGCACCCAGCTCTGCCTCTCCGCCCAGGCCAGGGACCCCCTCCGCCTCTCCCTGGGGGCTGTGGTCTCCGCGCTCCCGCCGCCCCCGCTTCTGTGCCAGTCCCCGCGGCGGAGCTGCGGGATCAGAGCAGCTGTGCGGCGGCTTCCCGGGCTTCCAGGCAGCGCGGCCGCCAGGGGTGGGGCGCAGGGAGCGGAGGAGGGAGGACAGCGTGGCGGACGCAAGACGGCAGTCCGCCCGCCTCTCCGGTTCAGCGCGCCGCGCTCCGCGCCTCCCCGAGACGGGTCTGCGGCGGCTGCCGGTCACGCTGCGCTGGCGGGCGCGAGGTGCGGGGGTGGGGGCGCGCGCGCGCAGGGGTCGCAGTCAAACCCCTCGGTGCCGCACCGGCGCCAGAGCGCGCCGCTTCCCTGCGTGCGCCGCCCAGGGATGCAGCGACCAGGACCAGGTGGCCAAGGGAACAGGGTCGGGGTCTCTAGGAACCTGCGGCCGTTTCGCTTCTCCGGACCTTGCTTACACACACACACACACACACACACACACACACACACACACACACACACACATACACGGTTACCTCCGGCGCCCCGAGGAGCTCCCAGGAAAACCTAATAGTCACAGGATTTATCATTTATTCCTAAGATTACCCATCTTTCACTATAGGGAGATGTGGGGAAGGGCGAAAAGGGGATTCACGGTGTGGAATCCACTCCATTTTTAGATCTTGAGTATCTCTATCCTTCAGGAAAGTTTTGCTAGCCGGTTTCGAATTTTTTCCCTGTCCGTGTAACGAATCTTTATAGACTTTAGGATAAGGCCTCAGTGTGAGACTGAAATCCTAATCAACTGAAGGACTAATAAGTAGTTAACCAGTTAATTATCTCCATGGAGAGGAAGGGACAGTGGAGGAGAAAGGTGGGTGGTGGTAGAGAGCTAGAGATGCTTAAATCGCAAATGTGTTTAGTAGGTGGGGAGGCTGGGCATCATTAATTAGATCTGAGGAGTGTGTAGTCCGTGGACAGCGGCGCATCAGAGCACCCCCGGGGGAATATGAGCGTGTATGGGTGGGTGCGCTAACGGATAATGGGTAATGGATTTTCCTGCTGCAGACCATGGTCAAGGTATACCCATATTCCTCCTAGCTCCCAAGATGACTCATTTCCCTACTAAGATGTCTTCTCTTGCCTGTTTGGGAGATAGTCCATGCCCCCGGAGAACATGATCTCTAAGTTCTCACCAAGCCTAACACTGTAAGAGGATGTGTGAGAGAGGACACACACCTACCAGTTTGGTAGGCACTGGTATCTGGGGTCTGGCTGGAGAGAGAAGCAACGCTGTCTGTGCTTTAAAAAACTAGAGTCTGAATGTCCATTTCAAGTTCTTCTTTTCTTGGTTCTATTTCTTGCTCCGGAAGCAACTGCAGCTCAAGCCTTAACTATAGCTGCAGCTTTGTTTCACCCAAGGGAGTAAGTGAAGTTTTGAGAACACTTGTGAGCCTATATGTCATACAGTAGCCTTAAATGAGGCAGGTATTTGAGATCCATGGAAATTGGGTTTTGCCCCTAGAATATACCACTTTACTTACAGTCCCAACTTCCAATATTTCTTTATTTAAGGTTGGCTACAGCAGTAGTGAAAGCAGTGCCTCTTCTCTACGCAACGATGCTTGAAAAGTACTGCGGTTTGTAGCATTAAGGCTTACTTTGTGAGCAGGCACAGTGAAGGGGAAACACGTAAGAATGAAGAGGCCACTTTCTGCAGGACTTTTCAAGGTCATCCTTTACAGAATCTGGCAGAGCATGGTTCACCTGTCTCCCCTTGAAGAAAAGCATAATTCTGAGTGTACTTTAGTGTTACCGAGCAAGTGATGGCAACTTGCTTGTAAAAAGAGAATGGATAAGAAAGACTGCATTGCACTAAAAATTGTAGATAGCCTGAAAAATGTGGTAAACAGTGATATGGCAAGTTTTCAAGTAGCCTTATGCAGCGACAATCAGTGTATTTTGGTGTGTGCCAGGGTGGAGAGAGATGTGTGAAGGAGGTAAGATGTTCATAATTACTTTTGCAAAGGAAGTTGCGGCCTTGTAGGGAGGGGCTATTTGAGAGAGGTATGATGCTTAAAAGCCAAGCTAATGGTTTGAAAGAGAGGAAAGAGAAAGGAGAAAGCACACTAAATACATTCTTACTGTGGGAAAGCTGGCCTGTCATTCCCTGTGATGAGATTCTATGTGTGAATATACAGAGTACCTTTGTTTATTTGGGAATGCTTTCCTGGAAGTTCTAATCAATCAAAATGATTACTGTAAGCCAGATGTCTCTGGATAGACTCTCTTCTCATCACACTTTGAGAGAGAGTACTAGGTTCTGAGATACAGCATTGAATAACAGACATGATCCTTGCTGTCAAGGAACTTAAATTCCATGAAGAGTGTGTATAAGAAGTACAGACGGACAATAAGCAAATAAAAATGCAGACAACATCACGTAGTGATAAGCGGCAGATCATGAGGTCAAGAGATTGAGACCATCCTGGCCAACATGGTGAAACCCCATCTCTACTAAAAATACAAAGATTATCTGGGTGTGGTGGTGTGCGCCTGTAGTCCCAGCTACTCTGGAGGCTGACGCAGAACTGCTTGAACCTGGGAGGCGGAGGTTGCAGTAGGCTGAGATCCCGCCACTGCACTCCAGCCTGGCACCTGGCAACAGAGAGAGACTCTGTCTCAAAAAAAAAAAAAGGACATAAACAAGAACGTATCAGTTAGTGATAACTGATGAAAATCAGAGTTCTTGATTTGAAGCAAGGGGCAGAGGGTCTAGGTCTGTTCTGCAAAAGCAGCAGAGAAAATGGGAGTAAGAATAACTATTGGGATGATGACTAGGACTTTCAAAGGGCTGGGCATCCTTCAGGCTCTTGGTGGGAATGTTTTCCTGAGTCATCATAGGTACACATGAATGGAAGAAAATATCTATAGCTGTATCTATAGAATACTTAGGTCTCAGCCAAAGAAATTTAGAAAGGTATCCGAGCAGGAAAAAGTAAACTTTCTATTTAAAAAAACAAATATGTTGAAGTCTTTAAAAATTACACCATGATGGCTTAAAAGAGGAAATGCCATATATAGGGATTCCTGATTTACCATGTAGGAGTATGTTGAGGTGCTGAGAAAATCTAGCTCAAGCAACGTCTTCGTAATGTCTAGAAATATAATGGTGTACAAATACATGATTAAGCTACAGGAGTCACAATCAAAGTACTGTTTTATGATCAGTCAACAGATATTTCTTGTACATCTCCTGCCAGGTATTGCTGGCACTGCTGTGCTGTCAGGCGTATAGGTGAATAAAACACATTGATGGAGCATATATCGAGGAGCAAGAGGTTATATGCAACAGATATAATACACAAGTATATAAAGTTATTAGATGGTGATAAATACCATGGGAAAAGAAAAGGTAGAGGGGCATAAGGAGAGCCAGAAGGCTGGCTTCAGTTTTACATAGAGTGGTCAGGGAAGGGTTCATTGAGAAGGTGACATTCCAGCAAGGTTTGAGAAGGCCAGAGAGCAACCAGTTCGAATGTCCTAGCGACGGCAGATTGCCACTTTCTGGCAACAGCAATGAGGCTAGTGTGGCAGGAACAGGGTGAAGAAGGGGAAGAACAGAGAGGAATGGGGCCAAAGCACTTGGGACATTGTAAAACATGGTCAGTTCTTGCACTTTTACTCTGAATTAAACCAGAAGTTAGAGATGTGTTTCAAGCCAAGACTAACATGATCTGACTTACATTTTTAAAGGTTTATCTGTCTGCTGGTGTAGGTATAGGTAAAAGAGAAAAGGTAGGAGTGGGGAGAACAGTTGGAAGGCTATTGTGACTCAGGTACAAGATGAGATGACGAAGGCATGGGCTCAAATGTTGGCAGCAGAGACAATGAGAACTGGTTAGATTGTAGATATATCCTGAAGATAGAACAAATAGGGTTTCTTGACACATAGTAGTATATGAGAGAAAAAAATCTCAAATATGACTTTATGGTTTTTGGCCTGAGGATAGTATGCAGACAGTTAATTGGCCTCAAGAAGTTATTTAATAGATAGATGGCAAGGAACTCTATACAACCCAAAGAAGCGACAGGACAACTGGCTCTGAAGGGAGTCTGGCAGGTGGGAGGTTCTCCCTGCTGCTTACTGATCACATTTCTTCATTTTCATTTGCAGCCCTTGGCTTATAGCAGTCATTTGAGCTCCCAAGGTAACCTACATGTTAGGTTGACTCACATGTTGCACAACCTCCTGTATAAGTAGAAGAGAGGAATTTACACTTGCTTCAGGATATGCTTGCAACTTAAATGTTTTCGAATTTCAATGTCCATTCTGCAGGAATATTTTACCTACCCATGTGAAATCTGTAATTCCATCAAATCTAGTCTTTATCCATCAATTTGGCTATGATGGCTATAAATAAGGGAGCAACTTGAACTCCAAAGAACCTTTAAATTTCAAAGCTGCAAGTAAAATACAGAGAGGAGCATTATTGTTTCGACTTAAATAAATATTCTAATGTATGCTTAGGAGTAAAAGCTTTTGGGGGAT